ATTGTGATGTTTTTAAGTTTTGGAAAACATACTCTTAATTCTTATTTATTGTCTTTTTTTTTGTTCATAACTTATTTGATTTTTATCATATAAACAAAAATACCATACATAATTCAGTAAAAATAAATGCTTACAATGCAAACTAAGTAATTGAGAAAGTTTGAGATGCTTGGTGATATGCAGAATCAAAACAAAAACACTTCAAATCATAATTGTTATAAAATGCATATTCGATTTTCTTATATAGAAAAAGTTAGTTGGTTTTATTTATGATTTTGTATTCAGTATCATTGATAAATTATGAATTTGCATAATTTAGTTATAGATTTCTTAAGTTCTATTTTTATTGATTAGAAAACTTAATAATGCAAAGATACCAATTTCTTCCAAGTTGATTTATACTTTCAGTGTAATCGTTATCAAACTCCCAGTAGATTTTCATACATATTAGCAAGCTGATTCTAAATATTCTATTAAAATGCACAATGCCATGAAGAGTCAACGTAACCATAAAGGGAAAAAAGACAGCTGTGATTTTTATACCAATGGATGTGAAGGCATTATACAGCAACTAACATTAGGACAGTGTAATATTTGTGCAACTTAGACAATTGGAGCAATGGGAAAGAATAAAGAATCCAGAAACACACCGATTAATATATTGATCCTTAATTTTTGACATTGTTGCCAATGCAATTGAGTGAGAAATAAAACAGCTTGTCATTGAGTGGTGCTAGTTCACTTTGTATTTCATGTTAAAAAGTGGTGCATTTGAGTCTCTAACTAACATCACATACAAAAATCAGCTCCAGGTGGATTGCATTTACATGTGAAAATTATAGCAAAACTTTTATTTTTGACTAAGTAGGAAAAAACTCTTCAACAAGATAAAAAGATTTCACAAAAGGAAGAAAATATGAACAATTTGTACCATATTAAAGTTAAGGACACCAAAACACATCATTAAGAGCACAACTACTTAAACTACACCTGGGGAGAAAATATTTAGAATTATATAATTAAAAAAATTCATAACCAGAATATATAACATTCTTAACTCAATTAATAAATTATACAAAATAAAATAAAAAAAGATTCAAAACACTTTGTAGCTACTACACAAAAGAAGATATTCAGATATCAAATACACATCTGAAATAATAATCAGCATCAATATTTACAGATAAAATGCAACTCAAACAATGAGATATCAGTATATTCCTACTAAAATGAAAAATATTTCCAAATTTTTCTGTTCTCCCTGTAGTTACTGTTACTCATGCATGACCCTGGCTATGTTATTTTTACCATACTTCACATTAAAGTAGGAAGAGTATTGACTACCTTAGGCAATTGATTTTAGTTTGCCCGCATAATTTTCTTTTGCTAGTTGCATGTGGGCAGAAATGACACTGCCAATTCTAGGCAGAAGGCTTAAAAGGCATAGCAAGGTTCCTACTTGTTCCTCTTGTGATCCTTTTATTCATTATGAGAATTATATGTCTTGGTCCATGGAGAATGAAGACATGTGAGGCAGAACTCCATTAGACCTGAAGCCTGAAGCATGGCCTTACCAGCTGACTCACAAACCTGTGAGCAAGTACAGTAACTGTTGTCAGTATAAACCAAGGAAGACGTGCAGGAATATCTGCCTACCACAAGTTGGTGATGCTGGAGAGCATTGGGATCTCTCATTTACTGCTGGTGAGAGGTTAAATTGTTCTAGCAGATTTAGAAAATATTTGCTGATGATAGGTAGATGATAAAGAGCTAGCTAGATAGATAGATATACATAGATATATTCTCAAAAAAAATGCACTTGTAGTAAGAGACCCAACAAAAGCATATAAAAATGCGCACGCACACACACAAAGATTTGTAAATAGAACCTTTCTAATGGTAAAGTAAATAAAGAAATCATGGCTAAAATATCATATATTCACTCAATGGGACAATCTTTATAAATAAAAATGAAGTACTTACTGCTTCACACAATAGCATAAATGGTAAACATAATGTTGAATAAAAAAACCAAACACAAAAGATTCCATACTATGATGCCATTTACATGAATTATAAAAATGACCCAGATTACTCTTCAAAGATGAAGTAATATTAGTGGTTACATTTAAAGGTAGACTTGGTGAATGAATGGGGGGACATACAGGCGAATTCTGTGGAACCCATAATATTCTATTTTTTTATTTGCTATTATTAGAGCTGTTAACATTTAAACATGTAATTAAAAAATAATCTCAGGCTCAAAATATTTTCTTAAGTTTCAAAAGTAATAATTGGCAGAGTTAATAGAGTTAATAAGCCCAATTTTGTTTGACTCCAAAACCTGTGAACTTTATAGCACATCTTCCAGGCAAAATAATTCTAAACATATTCTTTCATCTTATGTATTTACAAAAAAGGAAAATATCTTTTAATTTAAAATTATATATGTGTGTGATAAAATAGATCATCATTTCATGAAAAGGTACAGGGAATGTTTTTTATATTTTTCATTTTAAAGTATAAGTAACTATTTTGTCTACATAGTTCTTTTGATAAACTAGTTCCATCAACTCAAGCAAGACCATCAGGAAACCTTAACTCAACCTTGACATTTTTAATAAGGCACAATCTACAATTAAAAATGGTCAACAAAGTGCTTTTATTACTGTTCAAGCTATACTATGAAGGTTTGCATTTGAATATGAAAAGAAGACGTGGTTTTTTGTTTTGTTTTTATACTCACCCAAGGACATTTTTCCATTTTTTATTCAGATAGAGTGGGAGGGAGAGAGAGGAAGAGAGAAAGAAACATCGACATGAAAGGGACAAATCGAGTGGCTGCCTTCTGCTGGACCCAACCAGGGCTGGGGACAAACTGCAACTGAGGTACGTGCTCAGTGGGAACTGAACCCGGTTCTCTCCGGACTGCAGGCCGACACTCCAACCGCTGAACCAAACTGGCCAGGGCAAGATGACTTATTTTTTTCGAAATGATTTTTCTTTATTGATTTTAGAGAGAGAGGAAGGAAGAGGGAGCGAGAGATAGAAACATCGATGAAAGAGAACATCGATCTACCACCTCCTGTATGCCCTCCACTGGGGATCTGGCCCACAATTTGGGCATGTGCCCTGACCAAGAATTAACTGGTGACTTCTTGGTGCACTGGTTGATGCTCAACTGGTGAGCCATACTGGCTGGGCAAGACTTGATGTTTTTTAAAGTGGTTATCATATAGCTCAAGATACCTCTTCATACCTTCAACTCTACCTGCACTATCAAAATAAGGAAACCAGAATCCTGTTTTTAAAATGTGAAAAACTTTTATAATTGATCAACGAATTTCAGACAAGGAGGTTTATAATTTAAAAGAGGACTTACTTTAAAATCTTATAAGAGGAACCCAATGAAAAATAGATGATGGATGTCTTAGGAAAATGTGTATGAATTGCATAAGATGAATGTAGAATTTGACAGGTTCTAAATCATGAATAGCTTTGAAAGTTCATGTATAAGAAGCATGAACGTGTATAGGATAGCTGGGTTCTGGAGATTGACAGATTTAAATTTGAGTCACTCTTCTTACTTGCTCTGTATAACCCTGTGTTTATTATATAAATTTTCTATGATTTATTTATCCTATTTGTCAGGTGGCGATCATTAGAAATAGTATGTACATTGTAAGACTGATATAAAATAATATGAAACAATCCAGGTAAACATTTAATAGAGAGTTTGGCTTTTTGAAAACAAATTCCGGTTGCTATGTGGAAGAAGAAAAATGTCAGAATTAGAACAGCAATAGAATTCTTTATACTTTACATACTGAAAGTTACCAAGTCATCCATCATAACACTGCCTCAGTTCTAATCAGTTTGCATGTAGAGGCAATACTTGAATTATGTGCATTGATGCCACCTGGTAGAAAATATTTCTTCAGAAATAATCCACTGAATAGGCCCATAATACAAATATATATATGTATGCATATACTCAAATGGAGACTATGCAAACATGCACTCACAGCTGTGTATCTGAATGCATGTTTGTGTACCCATGTGTGTACATATGTATGCACATTCATATGTGTGACTATATGTATGCCTTGTGATATCTATAAATGCAGATATATTTGTGTGCATTTTCTAATATTATCATAGACATACATAGACAGTTGCATGCTAAGAGATATTTCACCTGCGTTGTTGCAGATGGCAAGATTTTATTCTTTTTTTTTATTGCTGAATCATATTCCATTTTATATATGCACCACTTCTTTATCAATTTATCTACTGATGAACACTTAAGTTGCTCCCATATCTTGGGTATTGTAATTATGCTGCAGTAAATATGTGGATGTATATGTCTTTTCGATTTAGTGTTTTGGGTTTCATCAGATAAATACCCAGAAGTAGAGTTGCTGGTCCCTTCTTTGTCTCTTGTTATATAGCCTTTGTTTGTTGTTGTTGTTGTTGTTTGTTTATCTTCATGCAAAGACATTTTTGCATTTATCTTCAGACAGAGCAGGAAGGAGACAGAGAGGAAGAGAGGGAAAGAAACATCGATGTGAGAGAGACACATCGACTAGTTGCCTCCCGCACAACCCAACCAGGGCTGGGACAAACTGCAATCGAGGTATGTGCCTTAGCTGGAACGGAACCTGGGACTCTCTGGTCTGTGGGCCAACGTTCTAACCAGTGAGCCAAACTGGCCAGGGCTAGCCTTTGTTTTAAAGTCTATTTTGTCTGATCTAAACATTGCTACCTCAGCTTTATTTTGTTTTGTTTCCATTTTTATAAAATATCTTTTTTCATCCCTTTACTTTCAGTCTGTGTGTGTATTTCCATCTGAAGTGAGTCTCTTATAGACAGCATATGTAAGGGTTTTGTTTTCTAATTCATTCAGTCACCATATATGTTTTGATTGGAGCATTTATCTATTTGCATTTAAAGAAATTGCGGATAAATATATATTTATTGTCATTTTATTATTCATATTTTTCCCCCTGTTCAGCCATTTCATATAAGAGGACACAAATAAATGCTTCCCCTTCTTCAGGTAGTGACAGTTTTAATCTATCTCATAAGCATTGCTACTAAAATCTATTATTAGGAGAAAATGTGGTAGTCAACTCTTCTGTTTCTTTTTTTTTTTAATCCTCACCCAAGGCTATTTTTACATTTATCTTCAGACAAAGTGGGAGGGAGGGAGAGAGAGAGAGAAAAAAAAACAATGATGTGAGAGAGACATATCGATTGATTGCCACCCACACAACCCCAACCGGGGCTGTGGATGAACCCTCAGCTGGAATCGAACTCAGGACTCTTTGATCAGCAGGCCGATACTCTAACTGCTGAGCTGAACCAGCCTGGGCTCCTCTTCTTTTTCTTAAGAAAGACACTTTAAAATTTCTGGTGATACTGCATTGGTGGTGATGAACTTCAGCTTTTTTTTGGTCTGGGAAGCCTTTTATCTGTCCTTCATTTCTGAATGATAGCTTTGCTGATTAGAGTAATCTTGGTTGCAGGTCCTTGCGTTTAATCACTTTGAATATATTGTGCCAATCCCTTCTGGCCTGCAAAGTTTCTGTTGAGAAATCAGCTGACACTTTTAGGGGAGCTCTCTTGTATATAACTGCTTTTCTCTTATTGCTTTTAGAGTCTCTCTTTGGCCCTGGCCGGTTTGGCACAGCAGTTAGAGCGTCGGCCTGCGGACCAATGAGTTGCGGGTTTGATTCTGGTCAAGGGCGCGTACCTCAGTTGCTGTTTGTCCCCGGCCCTGGACACAGAGGCAACCAGTTGATGTGGCTCTATCACATCGATGTTTCTCTCTCTCTCTCCCTTCCTTGCACTCTATCTGATGATAAATAGAAAAATATCCTCGGGTGAGGAACAAAAAAATAAAGAAAGAAATAAAAGATTCTCTCTTTGTCTTTAACCTTTGCATTTTAATTATGTGTCTTGGTGTGGGCATCTTTGGGTTCATCTTGTATGAGACTCTCTGAACTTCCTGGACTTTTATGTCTGTTACCTTCACCAGGGTACAGAAGTTTTCTATCATTATTATTATTTTTTTTTTTACATAAGTTTTCAGTTCTTTACTTTCTTTCTCTCTTCTTCTTTTGGCAACCCCCATGATGCAAACATTGGTATGCTTGAAATCGTCCCAGAGACTCCTTACACTATCCTCATTATTTTAAAATGCTTTTTACTGTTCTAATTATGTTTTCTGCTCCCTTATCTTCCAAATCTCTGATTTGATCCTCTGCTTTATCTACTCTAATGTTGATTCTCTGCAATTTATTCTTCATTTTAGTTAGTGTATCCTTTATTTCTGACTGTTCTTTTTTATGGTTTCCATGTCACTTTTATACTATTGAAGCTCTTTGAGCATCCTTATATTGTAACCATTGTTTTGAAATCTGTATCTGGTAGTTTGCTTGCTTGCCTTCATTTCATTTAGTACTTTTTCTCCTATTCTTTCATTTGGGACCTGTTTCTTTATCTCCTCATTTTCGCTGCTTTGCTTTGTTTGTTTATATGCATCAGGTAGAGCTGCTTTGTCTCCAGTACTTGGTAGAGTGGTCTTATGTAGTAAGTGTCCTGTAGGGCCCAGTGGCTCAGCGTCTCAGGTCACCTGAGCTGGGTACTGCCTGTACATTTCCTGCATGGGCTGTGTGCACTGTCCTGTTATAACTGAGTCTTTATTGTTTTTGGCACATCACTAAGAGGGGTTTATCACTAAGAGGGGTTGACTCCCCCAGACCAATTGGCTGCAAGGACAAGTTGCACTAGAGGAGTTGCTGTGCAGGAGTCCACCCCACAGAGCAGGACTTGCTTTAGCAGAGCTTTGGTGCCCGCAAAGGCCACTCCTTGACTGTGTTGCTCATTGATGTAGTTGGGTTGTAAGCTGTTCACTGGGTTCACTGGCTCTGGGGCGTCCTGGGAAGTACAATGTCAGCCTCCCCGCCCAGCACGAGCTACAGAATGATCTGCAGATGCCTGATATTTTGCTGGGCTTGGAGGTGCCCAGGAGAGGCCAAGCTATGAATTGAGGTGGGCTACACTAGTGCCAGGCCTCGGCCACTGAGCAAGATGTAAGGGGTACACAGGGGCAAGATGCTGCTTGTTTGAGAGATTTTAGGAAAGCCCTATCCATGATCCAAGAGAGGCCATTTTGTATGGGGAAGCTACTGGAAATGGCTTGGGTGGGCCCACAGTTTGGGTGTGGTGGGGTCTCAGGGAAACAGCAGGGTAGGGTGAGCTGTGTTAGCCAGGTAGATCGCATTTTATTTCTGACTTCTATATTATTGTATGCTGGTCATTACACTGGGATTTAATTACTTTATGCAGAATTTCTAAATATATAAATTAATATGTAAGTCGTTAAGCCAAAAACTATTTCAAATGCATAGGAAGATACTTTATAATTAGAAAATATGGAACATGTCACCCTGGCTGGTTTGGCTCAATGGTTAGAGAGTTGGCCCATGGGCCAAAGAGACCTGGGTTCGGTTCCCGCTAAGGCCACGTACTTCGGTTGCAGTTTGTCCCTGGCCCCGGTTGGCGTTGTGTGGGTGGCAACCACTCGATGTGTCTCTCTCACATCGATGTTTCTCTCTCTCTCTCTTCCTCCTTCTCTCCCTCCCACTCTATCTGAAGATAAATGCAAAAAAATGTTCTTGGGTGAGGATAAGAAAAAAAAAAAGAAAGAAAATATGGAACATGTCAACAATATCCTGAATTATTCACTAAGCAATTTGAGAGAGACAGATATTTAAATAGATAAGATATATTATCAATCACACAAATTCTCCTAACATCATACCATATCTAATTATATCTGAATTAGGAAATCAAGGCTTGATTTTGTAGATATAACCCCACAATTTTTACAGAAGGTCAGAGGGCATGCTGCAAATAGAGAGTTTCTTCATTCCAGTTGGTAGAGTGCAACTTTATAAGAAATAACTTATTGTCAGACTTTATAGTGACTCTGAGATAATAAAAATGGTACCATTTTTTTATAACTCACATTCCTATTGATATATTCTCTGATATTTGATAGCATATTGAATAGTGAGCTTTGGGCAGTAAAACATCATATGATCCATGAGAAATTAAGCCATCTTATTGTGTATCTCTTGATGGTGCCCTTGAGCTTCTTCATGAATTTGTTATTATTATTATTGTGATTTTCTGTCTGTCTTATAAGGGATTCTTTTTTTTTATCCTCACCCGAGGATATTTTTCCATTTTTTGTACAGATAGAGTGGGAGGGAGAGAGAGGAAGAGAGAGAGAGTGAGAGAAACATCGATGTGAAGGGACACATCGAGTGGCTGCCACCCGCACGACCAACCAGTGCCGGGGACAAAATGCAACCGAAGTACATGCCCTTAGCGGGAACCGAACCCGGGTCTCTCCGGACCGCAGGCCGATGCGCCAACTGCTGAGCCACACCGGCCAGGGCTTATAAGGGATTCTTGATCTCATAATGCTAGAGTTATTACACATAACTTCTTAAGCCATGGAGAGTCGAGAGTGGATTTTTGTCTTTTTATGTTGTTCTTTATTCTTCCTATTTTCAATTGTGAGGATATATTTATTTAATAATGAAAATAATATTTTAACATGGTATGGGCTAAGACTATAGCTACATAATAATAGTGCAAGGAGCACACAATTTGGGCTTAAAGAAACTGAATTTGACTCCAAGGCTTAGAATGGTATGATATTTTAGTAAAATTATATAATTTCTTGGAGCTTCAACTTCTTCATCCCTAGGGAAGGGATAATGATCCCTAATAATGATGCCTAATGGCTAAAAAAATTAAAGATGATACTTATTCTGTTTAGCATGTAAGTGATATACAATAAATGTAGCTTTCATTTTGATGAAAATATTTTATATTATTTGACTCAGGTATCATCTCAGATATATCTGACACACCCCAAAATATCTGGTTATCTCCCTTTCTTTAGGATATATATGTAGAAAATGAACTTAGGTCCTTTTGGAAAAGAATCAGGAAAATATTTTATATTTGTATATTGTAATCCTGAGAAGAATTCATTGCTATAAATTATTAGAATACACTCCCTTTTCTAGAGAGAGTTGAGGCCCCAATATCCAATTTTATGTTCTGCTCCCATAGACCAGTACTCTCAAAATTTACTTTCATGCATATTCCCCTGGTTCCTGAAATTTCTTTTTCACATCAGGCTCTAAAGAAACCTGTCTTTGACAATCAGCCTAGAAGCCATGGGGTAATGAGAGCAGGTCCTAAGAAAGATGAACTTTATATGTTGAAGTGCTGGCTCCAGGTGAGTTCCTTACATGGTCATCCTACAGGTATCACAGGGCAATCTGGAGGAACAAGATTCCTAGGTTTACCGATCAAATGCCTCCATTCTGTTCCTCAGTACTCTACAATTTTCTGACATTGACTTTTGTTTGTAGATATGTCACCATCAAAATGAAAAGCTAGTAGTAATTTTGAACCTGGGCTTCCCTGTGTCTGCAGATGTCTCTTTGCCTTGCATTGGTAGTTGGCTTCCCTAACCATACCATATTTATGAAAGAAAGCTTCAAAATGATGATAAATTCAGAAGTCCTCTAAAAAGGTATAACTTCTTTGACTCTGATATAGTATTATTATCATTATATATTATGAAAGTAATAAGAATCTCCAAAACTTATTCTCTTACAAGCTAATATAAAATCCTTACTTTGCACAATAAATCATAATTAGTGGATTTTAAAATTATGATTTCGAAATAACAGAAACCATAATCCTGAGAAATGTTTTAAGTAGTCAACCTAACAAATATGTAGACAATACAAAACAATATATTGATATGCATGTGTTCATTAACTCTTTTTAATTGCCCTGGATAGCAATCACGTTGGAATGGGAAGCACTGCTTGCTTTACATGAAACACACAGTACATATCTGTTTTGCCTTGGAATATTAAGCAAATAGTCTCTTACATAAAACTGTAGGGAGAATGAAGAATAATTTCAATATACAGAGTACCTGGAAATCTATAAATAATTTTGAGCACAAAAACCTCAATTTAGAAAATACAACATTTTAAATGAAATTAATAGCTGTTTATTTAAACAATATTGAAA